ATAATATAATTTTAATAATACCAATATATGAATCCTGTTCAGATAAATTGCTTGTCATATTGTTTATTGAAAAATAATAATGCTGCTGTTTTAATTAGCATTTATCATTTTTGAGTTTATTATGTGGGGTTTTCTATCAAAAATCGGGTACCAAGACCCCACAATCCAAAATTGAATTTTTTTGCCTGTTCAATATAATGTCGCCCAAAAGTCAATTTTGCATTCATCACCATGACCTTTAGCTTAGAAACCATATCCACTCACTATACTTGGATATTTGAAAAAAAGTAAAGGAACATAGTAGAACCAGAGAATTTTCTGTTTAGATCCAAATCCTGGAATTTGGGCCAAATAAATACTCGTATGTAATTTTTTTTCCATGTGTTATAAAAAAAAATTCGAAGAAACAAAAAAAGCTCGCTACAACGAGCTTTGGCTGTATAATGATAATACTGCAACAAAACACATTCATATTCATACTACCAAGGATTTCAGGGCCCAAAAATTTAATCATCACCAATTAGCAACTTTATAATAATAATGAGTAAAGTACTTTATCTATGAAAACGTAATTAATTAATGATTGTCATAATTATTAATAAAAAAACTAGAATATTTCTACAATATTGATCAGTAAATAACAAAAACGTGTGTTTTTTTAATGTCAAAATCTTAATAATGTAATATGTTATATATCTACAGCTTTTTTCAGGTATTGATTTTTTTTTGAAATTAAATAAACGGAGGTTCTTTTCTAAAGGATACTACTATTAATAGGATTTTGTTTGAATGTTCCGACTTTATATAAGCAAATTTTCAAACCAGGTTCAGGTTCTTATATAACTTTTCAAGCCAAACAAGATCAAGTGCTTTATCAAGAGTTCCAGGAGGCCATCTCCTTTTTTATTTGTAACACACAAGTTACGGAGCAGCTGGAATGCCTTTTTTACGTTACCAAAGATGTCTATGAATCAATGATCTAAGCTATGACATAATAGAAACTATTGCTATCAACGAAGTCATATGTCATTCTTCAAACCAATCAATGACCAGCATAATGCAAAACTGTTACTATAAATGATGAGCAGTTTGATAATAATAATTTAGTGTTGAGGCGAAGAGTAATTATTGGTTGTCTACAAGCTCGTGCTAGTCGACTGTTGAGGATGGTGGAGGATCTCTTTGAATATTATTTATCAAGTCCTGGAAGTACCATGATTTTGTGAATCCATTGTAGAACGATCACGAGGTATGATTCTCTTATGCCTGCTTACATTCCATCAAATGATTTATTGGACATATTAATATGGATTAATACGTTGCTTTCTGTGGCCCTACACAGTCATTTCATTAAAGTGTCCTTATAAGATGATACACCATTTTTTGGCATCCATAAAACGATAAAGGTGAAAGTTTATGATTCAATTTAAAATAGTTGCAAGAGCAAGTGATGAGAGAAGAAAAAAACACGCTAATAAGCAGTATATCAAACATTTCTTCAAGTAGATGGCCTCCTGGAACTCTTGATAAAGCACTTGATCTTGTTTGGCTTGAAAAGTTATATAAGAACCTGAACCTGGTTTGAAAATTTGCTTATATAAAGTCGGAACATTCAAACAAAATCCTATTAATAGTAGTATCCTTTAGAAAAGAACCTCCGTTTATTTAATTTCAAAAAAAAAATCAATACCTGAAAAAAGCTGTAGATATATAACATATTACATTATTAAGATTTTGACATTAAAAAAACACACGTTTTTGTTATTTACTGATCAATATTGTAGAAATATTCTAGTTTTTTTATTAATAATTATGACAATCATTAATTAATTACGTTTTCATAGATAAAGTACTTTACTCATTATTATTATAAAGTTGCTAATTGGTGATGATTAAATTTTTGGGCCCTGAAATCCTTGGTAGTATGAATATGAATGTGTTTTGTTGCAGTATTATCATTATACAGCCAAAGCTCGTTGTAGCGAGCTTTTTTTGTTTCTTCGAATTTTTTTTTATAACACATGGAAAAAAAATTACATACGAGTATTTATTTGGCCCAAATTCCAGGATTTGGATCTAAACAGAAAATTCTCTGGTTCTACTATGTTCCTTTACTTTTTTTCAAATATCCAAGTATAGTGAGTGGATATGGTTTCTAAGCTAAAGGTCATGGTGATGAATGCAAAATTGACTTTTGGGCGACATTATATTGAACAGGCAAAAAAATTCAATTTTGGATTGTGGGGTCTTGGTACCCGATTTTTGATAGAAAACCCCACATAATAAACTCAAAAATGATAAATGCTAATTAAAACAGCAGCATTATTATTTTTCAATAAACAATATGACAAGCAATTTATCTGAACAGGATTCATATATTGGTATTATTAAAATTATATTATATTTTATATTATTATTATTATTATTTATAAAAAAATTTTTTTTTCTCCAATAGATTATAAAACATTTTTATCAAACAATTTTGACCCAAAGGAATATGCAAATTCTACAATAAATAATAGTTCAACCAATGGAGATGGAGATGGAGATATTGCTATCGCTCTTGCTAAATTATCTTTTAGCATAGAAAGTTTGAATAAACAAATACATGATAAGGTTTTTATTAAAACTCTTTTTTTGGAATGAAAAAAAAGAGATCAAAAATTTTATTTAATAAAAAAATTTTTTTTTAGGTCGTTGCAAATTATGAAGATTTAATATCATTAGCATTTGGAATTAAAGATTTAGAAAATGTTTTAGGTACATTAAAAAATGGAATACAATCTCTCAATACTTCATTGGATAGGTAGTGTGTGTAAATTAATTATGTTTTTATTATATTTATTGATCTATTTAGAATTCTAAATTATTTTTTAATAAATAGTTTAAAGACAAGAGTTTATACACCTTATTCCCAAATGAAAAATTTTATTATACAATTGGAAAGATTACAAGCAGCTTCTGATTTATTGAGACAAGTTGTTAGATTTTTGTCTTTGGTAAGATGTATAGAGAATCAATTATCTGAAATTGACAATGATGATAATAATAGTGAAGATAATAATAGAGATAAGTCAGCTCATTATTTAGAGCTTGCAACAAACCTAAGTGAATTAGGTAAGTTAATTACATGATTATAACTATCATTATTAATAACTAATACTTTTATTTTTATTTGGTTGGTGAAAATTAGAAACATTGTTGCAAGAAGTAAATTTTGATGGGATAAATTGTGTTCAGACAAATTTATATATAATCCAAAAAGCAAGAATAAAAATAAAACATGGAGCTCTACAATCATTAGAAAAGAAAAGTATCCAATAATTTATATATCATTTACAATAGTTTATTTAATTTAATCACTCAATGTATGTAATCATAGAATATTCTAGGTTTAAACAATTATGTTAATCCAAAAATTATACATAATAGGTTGGTACATATATTTGGATTTAATTAGGAAACCTTAAAAATTTTAAAAAAATAGCATTAGATTTTATTATTATTTTTTTTAATTTTATAGAAGTCATGAAATAAAAAAAGTTAATAACATCAATTAATCGCTCGCGATATAACAAAGTCAGGGATTATATGTATGATAAATTTCTAACTGTTCGTCATTCATAGACAATAAATAAATTTTGAATTAATATATAAATATAAAACTGTCTGTATATATTCTTTTTGAAATATATTAATAATTTGAAATAAATGCATTTGTGATAAAGAAATTCAACGATCCAAACAGTCTTTGATACTTAATACCAGGCCGACTCAGTCCGCGGTCAATTCAGTCTGGACCAGGCATTAATATCCCCCCTACTCGGCGAATTATAATCATCGCGTGGTTGTAGCTACGGATTGCAACTGATGATCATGTGACAATGATCGGGACTTCACGAAATTTCTCGGTCTAGAGGGTTCAATATAGAGAGTGCTTTGACTGTACGTTTTTGATTGCAATAAAATATTTAAAAATCAAACAAAAAAAAAAAAACGCGAAAAAAAATTTACATGAAAAAAAAAAAGTTTTTGTGCAATTAATTAATTTGGGGTGACCGAAACTTTTGGGTAAGTAGTGTTATATGTGTGGAGCAAGCTTCTTTTACTAGCTATTTCATATGATTTCATTAAAGAAACTTTTTTTATCACACAAACTCAATAGATATAAAGATTAAATTCCATTCTATATTAGATTTTTTTAATTTACAAAAAAATAATAATAATCGTAATAATAATGATGATGATGATAATCGTGTTCATCACAATATAAATATAATTTTAAAATAAAATAAATTTATTTCCAAAGTTTTCTTAAACTTTCATTCTGTTCTTCACCCTTCTTCATTACTTTGGCTACCGCCATTTCAAAATCTTCCTGCGTGACATGAACACGTCGTTCACGAAGTGCATACATACCTGCTTCTGTGCAAACAGCCTATGAAAATTTGAATAATCAAATAAGGACTAATGGTAACAATAACAAAAAATTATCAAATTATTTATAATTTATGAGGTTGGTTAATTACCTTTACTTCAGCTCCACTAGAACCTGTCATTTTTTCTGCTATTTTACGTAAGTTAATTCCTCGTGTAAGATTCATTTTACGTGAATGAATTTTTAAAATATCAGCACGAGCCTATATAAATATTATTCTTTAATTAAACGTATATATTATATTGTTATTTATAAAAATTGAATGATGAAAACAACAATCTCATACAGCTTCAGAAGGTGGTGGAAACTCGATTTTTCTGTCAATTCTACCAGGTCTTAGTAGTGCAGGATCAAGTATATCGATACGATTTGTTGCCATGATAACCTAGTAAAAATGAGTTTTGTTTATAATTTAAAAATATATATAACCGTTTTCTCATATAAAACACACATTACCTTGATGTTTTTTGTAGGTTCGAATCCATCTAATTGATTAAGCAATTCTAACATTGTTCTTTGCACTTCAGAATCACCACCTCCAGATCCCGATTCAATACGTGATGATCCAATTGAATCTATTTCATCCATGAAAATAATGGATGGTGCATGTTCTCTTTTGTAAATTCATATTTAAAAAAATTTTTGTTAAATTTTTTTAAAGTGGTTATGATCATCCATCATATTGAGATTAAATTATATATTATATACCTTGCCATAACAAATAATTCTCTGACCATTCTACTTCCTTCTCCAATATATTTTTGTACCAACTCTGAACCTGATACACGAATAAATTTACAATCTGTATGATGAGCAACTGCACGGGCCAAAAGAGTTTTACCAGTTCCAGGAGGACCATATAACAATACACCCTAAATTTAATACATATATTAAATCATTACCTTTAATGGATAATTTTAAATGATATTTTATAAATACCTTTGGTTGTGCAATTCCCAAACTTTCAAATAATTCGGGGTGTTTTACTGGTAATTCTATTACTTCTTTGATTTCTTTGATTTGTTTATCTAATCCACCAACCATCTCATATGTTGAATCGGGGACCTTTTCTACCATCATCAATGATACTAATGGATCAACTTTATTGGGCAGAATCTTGTGAAGTGTGTACGAATCATTACGAAGAGCTACTCGACAAGTTGGTGTTATCTGTGAAATATCAATATCTGGTGCAATATCAACAACATATTTTCCTTCCGGATGTACCTATTATATTAAATCATACAAGTTTATGAAAGCCATACCCATACAATCATTATTCCACAAAAGAAATTCATTTCCAAACTTTCTTTTTATCATTATCATTAAAAATATATAAATATATGTTTTATAAAATACATACTTTAACCAAAACTTTTTTTTTACCCATTAATTTCACAACTTCACCAACATATGAACCAGGTTCTTGCAAGAGTTGTAATTCTTCTCTTAACAAACGGACTTTTTTAGATCAATCAAGAAAATGATGAAAGTCGAAAATATTAATTTTCTATAAATATGTTTTCTTATATATTTTATTATAAAATTATTTGGCACTAGACGGATGAATTTACGGATGGATGGATGGATTGATGGACATTAAAACCATACCTTTAGCATTCAATGCATTTCTTTGAGCTTCTAAACGTCTTAAATTTTGTGTTTTTTCATTTATAATTAATTCCGCTTCCTCAATTTTAGTCTGATAATAATTTTTTATACCTTCTCTGCTCATATCAAAAATTTTATATGTGCAAACTAATATATAATTAATTCTTTTATTTGAATATGAATGTTGTTATGAATTCTTTAAAAAAAAAAAAATTTTCCCTTTCGATGATTAAATTTTTTTTAGTGTGATAATGATGACGCATTTGATAATGACAAATTTGGATTTGATTTTCATTACATTTCAAAGAAAAATTATAATTTATTCAACTGATCGATTCGTTTATTCTCTTAAAAATTACTACTAACACAACAATAATAACCTAAATGGCTGAATACAAAGGCGGGGCCTCCGAAGGCCAACGTCAAGCAATGTTAGAGAAACAAAGAGCAAAGATGTTGAATGATTTTGAGAAACAACGTGAAAAAATTACAAAAGTGAGCAAGCAAACTATTGCTTTCCTTATCCTTCATCATATTAATTTATTTCTAATTTTTTAATTATGAACATTGAAAAAAACAAAAAATAATAACAGTTATCTCCATATATATGATTAAAAAAAAAAAAAAAAATCAAAACGGTGAAATAATACTTTTTAACTTTAAAAAAAAAAGGATAACCAAGTTAATATAACGAGCAACAAATTCGTGACCCAGTTCGATGATGTTGAAGATTCCTTGAAAAAAGAAACTATAGGCCTAGTTAAACTTGAAGATTTCCAAAAAATTCGGAAAGAAATTCTAATACAAAAAGAACGCGAAGCTGCTAGAACTGCTGAAATAAGGTATTTTATATATATATATATATATAAACCAGTGCTGTCTTCTGATTGCTTCGACGACTTCTCATTATTTAATATATTTTTGGGGTGTTTTAGAGATGATATTACAAAAAAGAAAAGAAAGAAAAAAGAAAAGGCTAAATTATCATTTGATTTGGATGATGGGGATGAATTTCAGGAAGACAGTGTTGATAATTTTGAAAATCCTAATTACTCGAATAATTCAACAAAATCTGAGGATAACAATACAACGTCAGATTATAACAATGAAGGTAAATGATCAATTATTCTCTTTTTTCTCAAGAATTTATTTACTATTTATTCAAAACTAAGTTTCATTTTTGTGAATATTAATCGACAAAAAGACTTTAAACTCACAAAAAAGAAACCAAAACTTGGTAAAAATCCCAATGTTGATACATCCTTCTTGCCAGATCGAGAAAGAGAAGAAGAGGAGAGAAAAGAAAGAGAAAAGTTACGCTTAGAATGGTTAAAAAAGCAGGAAGAAATAAAAAGTTTGTAATGTTTATTATTTCTTAGGTGTAGTCTGTACCAATTATTATAATATTGATAATATTTATACTAATTATTATTGTTAGATGATAAAATCAACATCACTTATTCATATTGGGATGGAACTGGTCATCGAAAAACCGTTACATGTAAAAAAGGTGACTCGATCTCAGCATTCCTAGAAAAATGTAGGCAACAATTTCATGAGTTACGTGGTGTTAGTGTTGATAATTTACTATATGTTAAAGAGGACTTGATTATTCCACATGTAAGTCACATTCTTTTATTTCTCAATAATAGATATTTATCTATTAATGCTTATTATATATGTGTTTATTATGTATATACAGCATTATACATTTTATGATTTTATTGTTAATAAAGCAAGAGGTAAATCTGGTCCCTTGTTTAATTTTGATGTACATGATGATGTTAGATTAACTCATGATGCAACTGTTGAAAAAGATGAGGTAAAAAAATTTTTTTGATTAATAAAAAGTAACTTTTTTCACACCTAATAATGATTTTAATTCAATAGTCACATGCAGGCAAGGTAGTTGAAAGAAACTGGTATGAAAAAAATAAGCATATTTTCCCGGCAAGTAGATGGGAAATTTACGATCCTGAAAAAAATGTATGTAAATTTTTTTTATAATATTAAAATATGGTAACGTAATGTAATACATTATATTATCATAATAATAACTAATCAATTTGATTTTATTTTATTTAAAAAAAAAATAGTATGGAAAATATACTATCAAATAATTATATTGTAAAGTTTTACAAGTTAGACATACATAATAGAATGATATAAAATAATTATTTCAACTATATAAGAATTAAGAAATTAAGAAATTAATATCAACTTAATCTATTAATAATAAATTTATTTAATTATTGAACAATATTTAATTCTTTAAATATGCCAAAAAAATGAACTTCATGTATGGGCTCAGATGATATTTCTTCATTAGGTAATTTGCCATAATCGTCCTTAATGAATGATCTAAATTCACGCACATGAAATTAAAATTAGTCAATCAGAATTTTGTAAAAATCTTTTAATTATAAAGTTTCAAACTTCACAACATATAAAATAAAATAAAATTTCCGAGAAACCCGGCGATCACTGTATCTATAAGTTTTGGAACATTAATCGATTCTGTCGCTTCTTTTTCTGTAAGTAAATAAATAATAATACAATTAAAGTAGCATGGTGAGCATCTTTCTTTTTACTAGTGATAGAAATTCAAGATCAAAATATTCTAGTTGATATTATGTAATAATACTACTATTAATAATAAATTATTAAAGGGTATGTACACTCCCCTACAAAAAATATCCGACCACTTGTGCTGTGTAACGTCAAATGAAAAAAGTACTTGCTAAATAAA